CAGCGTACAAGGACAATCTTTTTTCAAAAACTCTAACCCCATAAATAATAATAATAGCTATACATATATGAAATTAGGGTAAAAGGATCATTGTTTTAATTTCGAAGATCTCCAACTGAAGAAATAGTTATGCTACATCGATATGTCTCATACTGCCAACAAACACATAAGCAAACATATTATTTCAAAGGCCTAAGGCAGAGTTATTCTACATATGAAGCTGCACAACACACAACAAATTAGCACCTTAGCTCCGAGCACTAACATAAACTTAGACATTGACTGTTAAAATAAGACAACCATACATAATATATATTATACTTCCTTAAACTTACTTCTCCATACGGACCACTGTAAGCATCACCGATAACTTCTAAAGCTTCAAGCATCTTTCCCGTTGAGCCTCCAATCAACAGCACCTGAATTATTGCTATTAAAATATTCAAGAAGTTTGCGGGGGAGGATCCCCAAAACGAAAAAGATCCCTCTTGGCAATAATATATTCTAATGGTAAATCTTCTAGTTTCACCATACAATCATCTCATCATTTTTGGTAAGCCACATATTTAAAATGCATAAAAACTACAAAAGCTCAATACAAACTTATATGATGATGGATCCTGATCTTCAAATGTGTTAGAAGCATTGGCATTTTGAGGTAATGTAAAACACAAGTGAGAAAAGCTTACTGTTATAACAACAATGGCAGTGGTAGCAGTTAAAATTATTTTGCCATGTCCATCAGGAAGATCATGCACCGACTTCAGGGCAAGAGCAAAAGCCATAGCCCCTCTAAGCCCTACTCACGTGCATAAGCACTAATCACAAAATATATATGAATAATTAAATTCGTAATAACAGCCTGCCAACTTACCACTATACCAAAGTGCCTTCTGATGTCTCATGGGTATCTGGGAAGATGCTGGACGTACCATGTTGATCAACCAAGCACAGGAGAAGACATGTGCCGCCCTTCAACATTAACACAACTCAACATAAATAACTAAGTGAATCATCATAAGAAACAGGCCAAACCAGAACTAGGGGAATATGTAAAAAGAAGAAAGCCCTCAGTCAGTTTAAAATCTAAAGCACACTATTATAAATGAATAAATAGAACATGGATTTCTCTCTCAGGAAAAGAAATATTAAAATTAACAGACAACAAGATGCATCTGGTTATGCTAGTTATTCTTCACATTTAGAATTCAGCAGAGATCATTAAGATTAGTTACATTGGAAATAAATAGATAAAACTTTAGAGGATAAAACATGGATGATTGAGCAAAGCAAAAACACTGTACTGGCATACAAGACAATAGGTCTGGAAACTATTCAGGCAAAGCTCTATCTGGACAATCACTATGACTGCAAATTAACTTTCAGCAATAGTTATAAACTAGGAATAAGAAGGAAATTTCTGATTTTGGAAACACTTAATGAATAGAACCAATTACGTCCCCATTTATCAAAAGATCCAATACTAAGAATCCAAAGAAACTATTGGGGATTTGGCAAGGGTTCAGATGTGAGTACTTCAGAATAAATTGCCTATAAAGAATCAAGAAAAACATAAGTCCATCATGTCTCGTGTTCATCTACATTTCAGTAAAATAATTTTTAGTTATTGGGATTTTCTTTCTTGAATTTGTACAAAATGATAGCTCATGCTGCTAACCCCAAATAATTAGCACTTGCAGCTGCTTCTATGTGCTGTCTGCAAAATTTATGAAATGACGAGGCAAACAGATTTTTAACATCTTCTTGTAGAACAATACAGATAAACATATACTTTTGCTACGAAATGTTGCAGCATCTTGACAACAACCAAGATGCAACCATTCAGGTGCAGAACATTGAACATGGCTAGAAATAATGCTTGAAAATATAACAAAAACTGAAGACAATTGCTTGCTTGGTATCCCAAAACCATGAACATGTCAAACCAACATGATCTTCTAAAATCTTCACATATAAAATAATTTAAAGACAACAAAGCCTGATCCCATCGGGGATTTCCAACTGTAAGAGAAGCTCTATTGAACTTTTGTTGGGAGGATGGATGACAAGGAGTTGAATCCAAAAAGAAATTCATTTCTATCTTCTAAATATGCTGATTAAAATCAACTATTAAAATGTTGTTTAATGCTCTTGACTGCAAGTAAATTTCAGGAATGATCAATGTAATTAATAAAACAGTTGGGACTTAATACTCATTGTATTGCATATAATTTATGTTAAGCATATCCATCAAGGAGTAAAAGAATGAAGTCATAGCACAAGTGGTCATTTTAATAGAAGATTAGAACATAGATTATTACAATAGAAGTTAGTCCATACCTTGCAACTCCTATAAAGAGCTGGTTCATGCAACAAAGTGAGAAGTTAAGGAGTGCCCAAAAAAATGTTACTTAAAATTCAGCAAGAAAACAGATGGATGAATGAAATGGAAAGGATACAATTGAAAAGAAGATGAAACCAATATGTGACCAGCTATGTTGTTCCATTGCAATATCAAAGCCCATATATATGAATCTGCAGGTTAGGTTAACCATGTTTGCAACTATGTTATATAACTGAAACCTCAAAAATAGTCAAATTAAGCACTAATTTGCTTATTATCTTACACAAAAGTTTCTGCTAGTGAAGAAAGCAAATGGAAGAAAGCAGGAGCAAAGTGTTGAGAATTTTTAGACAAGTTTGAGAATGTGTATTGCTTCATGACCTATCATGCAAAGGCAAAAGGTTAGATGTGACAGAAAACTTCTGCAAAGATCAAGAAGGGTAAAGGTTACTTACAATTCCAGTGAACAATATTGAAACTATGCCAGAGAGGCCAAGACCTTCAGCTAACATGTACCTATAAAAATTATGATAGCAGTGTGGCATTAGTTAAAATCTTCTTTCATATAACAAAGCAAAAGAAGAATTTAGAGGACTATGCAGGGGGCAGTGCAGAACTGTCTTACGAAAAGTAAGGAAAAAGAACAAAAAGACAGCTTTCCAGATTGTGAAGACTGAGAAAAGAAGACATAGATGTCAGTTCCTAAAACAGTTTCTGGCATAAAAACCAACAGTATTTATTGAAGAAGTTCAAATTTTAGACTTACTTATCAACATCTAACCCTGCATACTTGAAGAGGTGCTGACTGGTTAAGGTTTCTCAATAGTCTAGTTGTAATCAAGTTTACCAACAAAGATGAGGCATTTAAGATGCATATAAAAACCTTCCATTCCACTCATAATTTTTGTACAAGAATCTTGTAGTCCACAAAAGAATACTGTTACAAATTCCAAATTTAATTAAAATTCAGTATTAGTCACCTCAATCTGAACCAATGATTTTTTTAAGTGTAAAAAAAAAAAAATTAAGTAGCTACTTGTAGGCATTGCAGAATGTTCATACATAAATTGCTTCCACATGATATCTCATAAATTCATGCTTCAAAATCAACTTGGAGGATTTTCCATGATTTGCTTAGGTATTTAAACATCTTACTAAGAAAATTGAGTGTATGAGCTGACTTTTGAGATAGGCCTACCTAAACACCCTAAGTTAGAAATCATAGCTTAGAATGCAAGCTTGCACCCTCTCTTGCATTCAAGTCATCTTTATATTAGTTATGAAATTGCTGCATCAGTGTCACCATTTGGAAAATCTCAAACCAGTTTTTTTTTAAACTTAGCAAAACTCAATCCAAGATCTAAGATGTCTTGATCTAGACACAATCAAAAAAATTTCGAACTAATTTAAAAAATAATTGCTAAGTCAGGAGAACAATAGATGCTTCCAAACTTCTTGAGGTATGATGCAGTTAGTCCTTCATACAAGATGATATTTAATGGTTACTTAGCAAATTCAAATAAAGCTCTTGAATCTTTTAGTTATAAATCACAATTTATTGGAACAAAAATATCCAATCTATTATTTTAAACCAAGGAGTGACCACAAAAGCCAGTGCTGAAGTATGAAATTGTAACATTATGGAAGAGAACCAATGACAGAATAAAATCTTTAACTATAGCAGATGAGAGCTTGATCATAAAGGATATAAGAGCAGAAATGAATCCAACTCCAACTCCTGCAAAAATATGTTAAATTGGTCAGAAGAAAATGCATCAATAAAACATGTCACGAGCTAAACATGAAGAAATGCATAGGAGGTCTTGAGTACCGAAATAAGTTCAAATAAACAACAGACTCAGAAAAGCACAGAAGAGAAGGAAAAACATTTTGAAGAAAAAATAATTATATTCCTTATATTGTAAAGTAGAGAGAAGCATATAAATATGGGTGTGTATGCATGTGTTTCGAATCGAATACAACAATTTCTACATGAACAATTTTGGAGACCAAACAAGCCAATAACACCCTTGGTGTAGGCTGATATTTGGCTAAAGTTTGACATCATGCAATGCAGGTCACATATCCTCTGCCCATAAATCAACTCAATCAACTTACAATATGAAGCAACATTGGAAGATCATTTTAGTTGGTTCACAGAGTCATTAGAGAAGCAAAGAAAAAAGGAGGTTTTGACAAAGGCTATCCTATGGCGGCAGATAACAACTTTGAGAAAATGAAACAAAGAATGTGTGAAAGAGAGAGAAAGGGGGAGAGAGAGTGAGTGAGCCAAAAGATAAAAGTCATTCTGGCCATCCTTGTCTAAGCATTGGTTACACCATCAGAACCATTATTGCATTCATTCTTAACACCACAGCTTCATCATCGAACCAAGACAACCTTTTAAAGAGCCTCTAATGGGCATTTTCATGCAAGATAACCTCAGAAACTAAAAGTATTAGAACAGTAGCATTAAATAGAACAGGGAATTGATGGTAGAGGCAGAGGAAGCCATAAAAGAGAGAGTTATGAAAGAGTTACAAACTTGTATAAAGTACTTCTACACTATTCCAATCAAACTAAGAGCAATACATAGTGTAGTGTCTACAAAATGCCGGTTTTCTCATGTAAGGAAAGTAGCACTTCAAACACTATTAGCAAACTAAAAGTGAGACTAGTTATGGAATGATAGGGATGTCTGGTGGTAATATCTGCAGACTGACCTGAAGACATTGACCCAAAAAATGTCTCAAGAAACTTCAGAACGGCCAACGCTAAACTTTGTCCTGAGGACTTGCTGTGTCTTACAGATGACATGGTTCTGCAGTTAAAGATATTACATAGAACCCTCTACAATTGCCAATGATAATAGAACAGGGTGGAAAAGAAATTTCAACCTTCAACACAAACCTGTATAAGGAAATTGCCATCTTCATCATTTCAAAAGACGAGAAAACGGAGTCAAATATGCATACACAAATATCAGTTAGCATACACAAATATGCAAAAATCAACTGGTGTTTTGATTCGGAAACATATACATACTGCATCATTTAGGACAGATTCACCGAAAACCAAGGCATATATGTTGACATCAGTGCCAAGTTCCTATGCAGGTGAAAAGAGAAAAGTTAAACAAATGCCTAAGAATGCAAGAGATACAGCAAAAAGATTCCCCTGAAAGCTTGATGTACTTTCTTTTGTTTGATTATTTTCTTGTTTCAACAATGGTTCTGTTGGAGCATTCAAATAAGAATATTTTACAATCTTCAAGCTGATATCAACATAACATTGCTTGATGAAGGAATTTATCACAAAAATATCAGATAGCCAATTAAGATTATCACAAAAACAAAGCTCAGCCAAAACAAAGTATGATCATCCACATAAGTCATAAAAAAAAAAATTCTGACAAGAACAGTAAAATCTCTGTGAAAACAAAAAAGATCTTCCTGAAGGGAAGTGATTGATGATAAGCAAAAAAGTGCTAATGAAGAAATAAAAATTTGCCAAGAAAATCAGATCGAAAGGGTCTGACATCTTAAGTCCACAGTATATTTTACAAATGTCTCAATGGAATTGCTTGATTTTTTCCAATTCATGGGTTCATTAAGAATACTCATAGCTGTGAACTGAATGCAAATATGTAGGAATACAAATTCTCATGGGAAAAAATTACCAAGAAATGACCATGAGAAAGCTGCTGAAAATGTAAAATACCTGAAATATGGAGAGTACAGTCACAGGATCTGTCGCAGATACTAGAGCACCAAACATCAGGCATTCAACCAGGGGAAGTTTGTACATTAGATATGCCAAGCCACCAAGATAACTGCAAGAAATAGAGGGAGCAGTAGTTATCATAGAGGACTCCTGAGAAGAAATTTTACCCACAATGAATGAAGTGATGGTTAAGAAGACATTCTTACACCAGAATTCCTGTCACAACTGAGGCAATAAATGTTCCAAGAATAGCCAATGTAATGATAGCTCCAAAATTTGAGAAAAATGGTTTCTATTGACAGATAGGTCAATTACATCAGACAGGGAAATTTAAAAGCTATACATATTATCAGCATCTGAAAACAGAGGATTTTGAGACATTACCGGTGCTAAGCTGAAACCTGACTGAGTAGAGTGCAGTCAAGTCAAACATAATATGACTAGAGACTAACATGTATTTAACCAAAAGAATAAGAGAAACTATTTTATTGTGAAATTTTTTTTGGAAATTAAACATAGGATATAATATAATTGGAGGTAGCAGGAACAAGAAGAAGAATTCCTCATGGAAATTGAACCATCCCCTGAGAAAAGGAAAAACTCAGAATAGGGAAATCAAATTACTCATCAAATCCATATTTTTAATAAAGGCAATTAATAAAAAAGAATAGATAAGTACCTAATATTGGCCTCTGTATGTGAAATGTTAGCAATTCCTCCAACAACTAAACCTGCCATAGATGAAAACGTAAAATATTCTGAAGCTCTCTTGTGAAACAACTCAGGATAAGTAAACAGAGTACATGTAAGGTGCCTGCGAGATTCCTGTGTGAGGATCATTTTTCATACTGGCTATGCTGCCTTGTGCTAGCCAACATGTACCTTGATGGTTGTTTGCCAGCAATTAGCATGTGCATATGATAATGTTTACATGTGGACAGAAAACATGTGACAAGCAACCTCAATTCCAACTCCACCACGTGTCATAGATATCATACAATCCTAACAATTAGGTTGAGAAACTGTCCAGGTCTAGTTTGACTCATTTTGAATATAAAGGCCAGTTCTTCTTTTTTTTAAGGAATATCATTCATACCATTCCTATTTACAAGCCAAAGAAGGTGCACATTGTACTTTTAGGATTACTCTGCATCAGAGCAGAACATTGGTTGATATTTAAATCAGTCCCAAAGAGTTTTCCAAGTTTATATGCGTATTCTAATTACAAAACAAATAAAATATAGTAGCCTATAAAGTAATGATCATTGCTGGACTACTATGACACCATATATGTTTTTTTGTGAAAAACATTGTCTATTGACCCACTGGACTATTCATGATCCTCTTGTATGTTCTCTACTTTAATCTTCTATTTCTTCCTCATTTCTCCAGAAATTCCTCTCAAGAAACAAGAATAGTTGTTTTACACCCTGATCAACCGGGGAATCCATCTCTAGCCTCAATAACTTAGATGAGCAGTGGCATGTATTGCTAACCATAAAACTGCAATTTAAGCGAAGCAGGTAGCATGTATTGTTTGATGAAATCAAGATCCATGTTGTTCTTTGGCTAGTCTACATGTAAACCTTTCAAACAGCTTGATGCTACCTCCCAGAGATCATTTACTTGGAGATTGTCTTTGTCATGATCCAACCCAATGGTATAACCGACTAATTAATTTATTGAGTCGAAACCACTTGCCCAGAATACTTAAGCTCAAGATAATGACAATACAACCATTAAGCCTTATAGATTAACTCAAGCCTAACTCAAGCCTATATCCATTTTCGATGTGGGCCTAAACTGGGGGTGTTATAATCTCCTACACTTGTGAGTTTGACATACTCCTCATGGTCTAAATACAAAAAGGAATCAAACCCTAAAATAATGCATATGAGACTCAATCTAGTGATGCCTCCACGCCATAGCATGTCCCATTCATTTACAAGTAGGGCTTCCCTACTTTAAGCCTCTCACCATATCCAATATTAGGTTAGTTCTGATCCATTTGTTACAAGGCGATCAAATGGGATACTTGACCCAATGAGTTTGAATCATTGATCCAAATAGATGTTTCAATTATGCCCACAGATACCTTTATCCATATGAACCAACTCCTAATGAGACGGGGATGGAGGGAATAAATGACGATGAGGGTGAGAATAAAAGACATTTTCTATCACCTATGTAGTTATGAGGCACTCCCCACCCAGCCAAGTTTATAATATTATATTATATATAATATATTTATTAATAAATTAATATAAATAAAAATATGCATATTTGAGAATTAAATCATATAAATATCATTATTTATAAATTTTGGTATTGTTAATTAGTTTTGATAATAATTTTATTTTTTTGAAACAAAATGGATTATTAAGAGAATATAGAGAACCTACGAGTTCTCTACCCCCAATAGGGATTCCCCATCCCCACCCTTGTTACGTTTAAATGAGGACTGAGGTGGGGATGTGGGATGGGGGATGAAATGGGGACGGGAGAAGCATTCCATTCCTTTGTCCCGTCAACATCCTAGATCCAAGTCTATATAGTAGACTTAAGTTAATAGTAGTATACTCAATTAAATCTTTATAGACTTACTCAAGTCTATATTCATTTTGGAATAAACTTGGGGGTGTACTAGAATTTGTCACTTGTTTGTCTTTTGCTTGGTTTGACATGTTAGAATGGATAGAGATCATTTATGACATTTTTTCAGGTCTAAAATTGCAACACGTTATACCATGATCAATTGGTGAAAACTTCCAACATCAAGTTCAAGTATGCATCCTCAACATTAATAACCTCACGAGTGTCATTGGCATGTCTTGAATGAACCCAGTCTGTTTCGCCTAACAGAAAGCTCAAACCCTATTATAAAAGTTACCAAAGTTGCCTCGCATCAACAATTAGAATGGAGCATCATCATTCTGATCTATAGGAAAAGGCCGGCGAGGAAGGTGGGAGGACAAGCGCTCACCTTCCGATCTTACGAAACGATATCAAAATCAAACAAAGGAAAAATGAGGAGCCAATGAATCCCATAAAAGACATAGGGAAAAAGACAGAAACTATCATGAGGATTCTTCCTTCTTGAGACAGAAAAGGGAGAAGACAGCGGATGCAATCACCGATAAGGAGGGAGACGCTGGCCTCGGGGAGGTAGTAGAACTTGTGGCGGCGAAGGACGTGGCCGACGACGAAAGAAAGCACCAGCATCGAGATCTGCAACAGGATACCCACCCCAGCCGCCTGCTGATCCTCCCCGGGCTCCTCCGACGGGGTGCTCCCGGGAGGGGAGGCCGTCGCGTTCAGCTTCAACATCGCCAGCGATGGCCTCTCCTCTCTCGTCTCTCTCTCTCTCTCTCTCTCTATGTGTATATATATATTTATTTTTATATATAATATATATATTGGGATTCCTTCTTCGGGGTGTTCGATTTCTTCCTCTCCCCACGCTCTGCTCTGCCCGGCAAAGAAACCCTCGGCGAAGGAGGCGGTTTAAATATGGCGCTGACGGAGAGGATTCGCGGCCGCGGGTCTACTCCGCGAACACGCATGGGAGCCCCGCACGCCCGGTGGGATCATCCACCGTTCGGTTTTGTTTCCAGAACGATCTGGTCCGTCCCAATGTTTGCGTTTCGGTGGCCTTTCCCGATCCCACGTGGACGAAGCGTTGGAGTTATTCACGAGAAAGGTGGTTGCATAATATTACGTTTACACCCCTCCAAATTTATTGGGTTACATTAAAAAAACCACAAATATAAATACATTATTTTCGAGTATAGGAATGCAAAATCACTTTTCCTTTTTTTCTTTGTGGCTTGGCGGATTCGTTGGTAGCATGTGAGACCCACCATCAAGTATCGCCTTTGATTGGATCATGTTCTCTCTATTTTCTCCGGTTCAAAGTGTCCCTTTGGCATGTGTTCAGTTTGTTCATGCCACTATCTCAATATCGAGCGGGCTCTTTAACTGGCCTAACAGTTACCGAGATTATGGCCTGGTCTGCAACATCTGCCTCCATTTCATAAACATGATCCTGGATCTACGAAAACCTCTGGGTCATATGGAATGGAAAGAAGAAAATATTTTGTGGATTATGTATGGCCTGTAATATTGTTATTTAGTTTATAAGGTTAAAATTCAATGTTGATTGTGGTAGCGAAACAGCGATGGATACAAGCATATTGCACGAACCTTAATGGGATCATCCAATTGGATCACCTGATCGAGGTTGCACTTCGTGCACTATCTATCAAGGCGTGTCGATTCAGCACGTGTTTATGACGTCAAAAATGTATTTGTTGACGGTTTCGGTTTTGGTTTCGCGTCGAGATGTGCCCTTTGATATTTTGGCCCGCCTCTCTTGTCGTGATTTCTGTCAAAGGTGAAGTTTCCTCTAAATCCGAATCTTAAAGCGGCGATGCGGTATACACCCCACGCCTTCCGTTATCTTTTCTTCTCCTTCCCATCGCTCCTTGTTTCTTGCTGATGGAGGCCGTACTCCTAAACTCCGCACTCCGCCTCCTCTTGCCCACTCCAACTCGCCCCTCGCTCTACCCCGTCTCCATCCCCCAAACCCTCTCCTTCTCCTCGAGCCTCTCCCCCCCGCGCTTCCCGATACGCATTTCTTCCCGTTCCCATTCGCTACCGGGATTTTTCTCGCATCCCTCGCGGAATTGGAGGCCGTTCCATGTCTCGGCTAGCGCGGTTGCTGTGCAGAAAACGGGGAAAGATCGGTCTCCAGCCGATGTTCTTGTCACCGAGACGAAGGAGCCTAACTCCAGTGTTAGTTCTTTTCTTTTATTTTCCTATAGGGCATTATTTCCTCGTTACCAAGAAGTTAGCTTCTTGCTCTTTTAATCAAAGTGGAAGTTTTATTGCTTTTCATGTCTCTTGCTCGAGTTCATTCAGCATGTTGGCTCTAGAATTTTACAGATTATCTCAATTCTGTCTACTGGTACTTAAGACCCTTGAAACTTTAGTTTTTGTAGTTAAGGTAGACGAATTACATGTTTATACTTCACACCTGACTGTACGTGAAGGGATTGTCAAAAGTTAGGCTCTTCTCGGGAAACCCTGTAAAGCATTTAGAATTATTAGCTTTCTTGGGAAACCATTCTGTCAGCCTGTCACATGTTACTAATAGGGTCTGGTGATGAAACTCTCCTGTTGCTTATTTTCATAATCATCCAATATTATTAGACTGTGGTTAGGGCATAGGTATATTTACAATCACTAAATATAAAAAAGTACACGATTGTAGTTGACTCACAGTTCCTATCACTTCAATTGATTCCCAGATATATGTGCCTATGACCCAATGACATTGGAATTTTGAATTTTGTTTCTAGCGCCATTTGGAACTATTATGATAACGAGCTTAAGCACTTTGTGAAGGAAAAAAATTGGTTGGCAAGGTTGATTTTCAAATAAATATCTGAAGAAATAGTTGGTTATGGAAATTTAATGTTTGCTTTATAAGCGAACAGTTAAATAATAAAATGTAAGAGTATTGATAGGTCTTACTTATTTTGCACCCAGCTTTTGTGAAATTTCTGGTTAATTACTCATCATCTTGTGCTTTCTGGTGATGTGCCCCTATTCTCTAATTGCTAATGTCTTTAGCAGGTTAGATTAAGTGTAGAAGTTCCTCCAGCAGTATGCCAACAATGCTACAGAAAAGTCTTAGATGAATTTGCTAAGCAAGCAAAGGTACTCGGTGCTCATTTCTGTGAAACTTGTTCCTTAAAAACCAGAGATGCTTGTCATCTCCAAGGACCACTTTTTTGCTTCCTTATTCTCTACCAAGCAGTAGATGTTGGATATACTGCCCATTTTTCTTCTGTTACTGCAGTTAGAATATCTTGCTTTCATATCAATATCTGGGGGAATCTCACCAAGGCATCAGCATATGGTTTTCTCATGTTTCTTCCTATTACTAAAAATTAAATGATTTGCTATTGCTGTTATCCTCCTTCCAGCCATGGCATCCACACCCAAATATTCTGATGCATTGGACAATCCTATAGCCATTATTTCTACTTGGCAAAGCATTCAAATCGGTTATTAGGGCAATGACTTGTGGTTTCTGCTTGCTTTACTGAAAGAATGGATTTTCAATCTTAAAGAAATAATATTTTAGTTATAATTTGTAGCTGCTTGTATAATCTACCTGTGTCTCTCTTGGAATAGCCCCAAATGTGGTAATTACCAGTGTGATGCAAAGGTAAGAATGTAAAATAACTAACCATGTCTGATCAAAGTCATTCTATCTAGATTCCTGGATTTCGTCCTGGAAAGAAGGTTCCAGAAAATATACTTGTCAACTACATTGGTGGAAACAATGTGCAGCAGGCTGCTATTGAAGCAACTTTGAAGAAAACACTTCCACAGGCCATGGCTTCGGTATGTAAAGTTTGCTTAGCTTGTTAGATATACACTGTATCAAAATAAAGAAACAGTTTCTGAATGAAATATTTTAAAATCATTTTGCTGAAATAGGGCTTGTGATGGTTGTTATTTAATATATGATAATTCTCATAAAGCTTTATAATTCACATGTCAAACTTGTGTTTTGACATTGATAACTCTGTCACTTGTGAGGTGCCGAAGCTTGAACATAGAAGTTGGATAGTGAGAATGGGCTTCAAGTGGAATGTACTTTGAGAAAAAAAGTGGAGAGTCTTCATCAATATATTATCTACATTCTGTTCTGCAGATTATTTGATAATATAACAGTCTTGCTTATAAAATCTTGGACTGATACTGTCTTCATATATCAATTTCTGATTTTCTTGTCTTGCTTACAAAATCTTGGACTGATACTGTCTTCATATCTCAATTTCTGATTTTTTTGTCATTTCTCATGCGCATATTCCTGAAGTACCAACTTATATACTTGGTACAAGATGAGGAGGTACCTCAAATTATTTCGAAGACAATGCAGCATGATATGTTCTCTGTTAATAACCTATTATATTGATAAATTTCCCTTGTGTGCACTATAGTTAATTCACCTAACCGTGACTCCATGCTTGAATAACTAATTATATTCTAGCTACATTTTATGTTTCAAATAAGCATATGTTGCTGTTGCTTATTGAAAACTTTCTAGGTGGAGGGAAGGGCTCTGAAGGATTCCGTGCGGATCGTAACTAAGTTCTCTGAGATGTATGATGTCTTCTCTCTCCAAGATGCCTTCAGGTTGGTCAACCTAATTGTTAAATCTTTTTCCATTGCATCTCTCTGATTCCTGTTTCTTTCAATTGTTCCACCATAACAATTTATGGATCTTCCTATCAAGGAGTGTCTTGTACTAACACATCAAAAGCTAGTTGAAGGCTAGCACTATTGTCAGCATGTGTTCTGCTAATTGCATGCTTACACAATATCATAATTATATTCGGATTACCATGGATAATTATATTAATCTTTATATATGGATTTATATTATATATATATATATATATATATATATATATATATATATATATATATATATATATATATATATTCAAAGTTGAGCATCACCGAGCATCCTTAGAACAGGGGAACATGAACACTTTTACTAATAATTTTTCTCATGCATAAAGAAAATTTGATGGTTGACAATTTTTATTTTCTAGCTTTGTTTTCTGTCTCTCTGATAGATCTTTTACAAGTATTATAAATAAATTACGTTCAATCTCTCAGATATGAAGTTGTGGCTGATGTGGCTCCTGAAGTCAAATGGCTGTCAGAGAATAAATACAAAAATTTGAAGATTGTTGTCGAGATAGACAATATCATTGAAGCTCAAAGTGCCTCTGAAAGAGAGCTACAACGGCGTCACAAGGCTCTAGGTTTGCTGAGAATTGTAACTGATAGGGGTTTGCAGGTATCATTTGATCTAGATATACATCGATGAACTTTTCTTTGGATTCCTTTTTTTCTCTTGCCTACAATACCAACTTTTATACTTGTACAATTTCTTATTTTGAACTATTGGTCATGCAATTTTCTTTTAATTAAGTATATCCATAATCTTTGAGCCTTTAAGCTGAATTTGGTTAATGTGGTTATAACACTTCAAAAGTTTCTCCATTTTGTGGTGAGCTGAAGGGCCATACTTTCCACTGTAACTTTGTCTAGAAGATAAATTATCATGCTTTACTTAGTATATGGATCACATTTTTGTGTGTCCTATGATTTGACAATTACTTGTTTGCAATTAAAAAAACCTCCATTCTTGGAAATAGACACAATTATGGAACTTTAGTCTCAATCTAATCATCACAGGCTTTAAATATTGTAAGAACACGATGCTCTTTCTCATTTATATCTTCTGTCACTTATGCAGTTCCTTTTCTTTCTCATGTTAGAAGGTGAGTTGTATTGTCAAGTTTCATCATTGTAATTTTATTGCTCCTCATTATTTTATTTTTCTATATTAAAAAGTGTTTCAAGGTCTTTTCTCATTAATAAGTCAGTCCATTTCCTGTCTATGATTTTTTGAATCTGCATATACATGACATTATCTTGTAGCACCTGTGTGTACTTAGCTATAGCTACTTTGTAGAAGTTATCTATTTAAGGTACCTATTCACACAAGAAGCTTTCAGTGGACAAATAATTATAGTGGTAGTTGGTTCCTGCATTATTTTGGTCTCTCAAAAATCAATGTACAAAGACAAATAAGTTTGAGCAAAGCCAACTTTTGTGATTTTCCTTTAATTGGTTTCACTAATTTTATTGGCTTTTCCAGACAATCCCAGTGTATTTCTCCATTAATTTATGTTTTTAGTTCTATTTCAGGCTTTATCAAAATGTTTTTCCTTTACTAATCCTGAGTCCCATAGTGAATGATGACCCTGCTATCACGAACGGTCGTCGGGCACCCGCAACAACTCTGTTCAACGAATCGTTCGTTGTTTGTGTTTACATGTACAGCTGCGTGGCAGCATGTTTTTGTTTGGTTTTATGTCCTTTTGCTTGTAAAAATGTAAGTTCGAACAAGTTGCAGCGCTACAGTGCAACCGCTCGCCGAACCGAGCAAAACAGCTCAAAACAGCTCCATTTTTGTTTGCCATGGGCTGTTTTCTGCAGCCCGTTGCTGCACGCGAAACGTCAGCTATCTCAGCACTCTGGAACCACTCGGGTGGCATCGTGGGGGATGGGGCTTCGGTATAGTGTCGGGCGTTGAACAATCTTTCACAAGTTCGCACGTTATCTTGACGGGAACTTGTGTTCGCGCCCGACACCCGGTGAGCAGCTGTTTGTGGACTTGCAGCTATTCGTTCAACCTTCTAAAGTCATTGTTTTCCTCCTCTCCCTCTTTTCTCTTGTGCACGCAAGGTGCTCGCTGAATTGCTTGTAAAGCTTCCCCTTTTCGCGAGGCGTTGGGACTTGTCCGTCGCTCGTTTTTCAAACTAATCAACTTTCTCTTTTACAGGTCCTTCGGGACCTGCGAGAGGTTGTAAATGGGCTGATCTTTGCAGACGTATATCGCAAGGGCGAGGCGCGACTTAGGCAACGCAAGCTAAGTTCGCGTCATTGCCGCAAGGGTGCCTCACGACTTAGGCAATTCCAACTAAGTCCGTAACACTGCTTTCTTGGTAGCTTGGCCTTCAGCATGGCTGTGAATGATTGCTTGTCTATAGAACATTCTCCCCTTTTTAAATCCAATCTTGTGTAGATTTACTGCACATTTACTACACTGTTAGCAGAATAGCAACAGAGTGTCTCCACTTCATGCCAAAGTGAATCCACGATGGTGGAAATGTTAAAAGGATAATATATCTTTGGATAATTCTTTACCTTCAATTTTTTGGGCATGCTTTGATTTTGATCTCTATTCATGCTAAATTTGCTATGCGTAAATTTTTCAATTATTGTCATAGCTCTGATAAACTTTTGTCTGATAGGTCCACTTTCCTCTCAAATATCTCAGTAATATAAGTTCATGATGTGTTTGATTATTCTTAGTTTATACCCCCATTTTGATTTTATATATTTTTTGTTTGCAATACCTTTCTGATGTAAATCTTAAAAACCTTCCCTATCTTTTACTGAGTCTGAATATATAAGATATATTTGGTGGAAATTGAAAATAGATAATGTAAAAATGTGGATGTTGCTTTTCGACCATTCCTTAAATGTAACTGTCTGTCTCAATTATTGAGCTTACTACTGACATATGTTTGGAACTTCTTAGATTGGCGATCTTGTGGTCCTTGATATATTTGCAAAAACCATTGGACAAGATGAGTCTGAAGGTGAAAAAATCCCATCTGCTGAGACAAAAGGTCTGCTTGCTTGCTTGCAATTTCAGGCTTTTATCTTCTTGTTACATTTATATTTTTGTTTGTAAAACCCCATCCACTGACTTACGAACTAACTCTATTTTGAATCGGTCTAGGATTCCATTTGGATACTGAAGAGAGTGATAACCTCCTGCCTGGGTTTCTTGATTCAATTATTGGGATTCGACAAGGTGAAACAAAATCATTTCCCCTTCAGTTTCCAGAATCATGGGAACAGGAAAATCTTCGAGGCGTCCGTGCTCAATTTACTGTGAGTTAATTTTTCTGGAAGAAACAAATTACTATGACCTTAGACATCACATCTGCTGATTCCCTTTCAGCCTTGGACTGTATAGGGATTTCTAAGCCTAGTAGATAGAGGTGCCGAATACTCTTTTAGTTCAGTTACTATGCCCCATCTCTATGAGGCAAATGTTATACTCAAATTTTAGGACAACCCACATTTAGGACAAAAACTCTCTCTATCTTGACTTTAAGAAAACTCTCTCTATCTTGTCATATCTAAAGTATTACTCAAGACATATATTAAATTGTCTAGTTTTGTTTTTAGGTTAGAGGATCAAAATCAAGTGGCTAACCCCCACTTTCCTGATCTTGCTTCCTTCTACTGGCATAATCTTTATTTTGATCTGTTGGTTTATTACAACCTAGTAACTGCAAACATGCCAACGACATACAAATCAAATAACAAAAATGGCAGTACACAACAGAAAGTTCCAATGTTAATTTGCAGTTAACCATTTTTCTGCATAATTTTCTTTTCTTTTATTTATAAGCTATTTTTAGTAGAAGCTTTTGAATGAGTATCTTGTTACAATTTTGCTACAGATATTGTTTGATTAACTAATAAATATATGATTTTCTTTTTGTCCACAAAATTTTAGGTTGAGTGCAAAGAGCTTTTCTACAGAGATTTACCACAACTGGATGACTCTCTTGCTGAAAATGTCCTTCCTGGATGCAATTCTTTGGATCAGGTTGCTTTATTTATTCGTTGTAGGTCACATTAGTACTCAAAGAAGATTTATTTTTGTCTAAAGGCTAAATTATAAAATATGAGGTTATTTTTTGCTTGAGGATACCGTACTGCTAATTAACTACTGAGTATGGCCCTAATACAAATGGTTGCAGATTTTTTCTCATGACGATGATATCATGCTTCAAGTACATAATATTTTTGTATAATATTTCTTTATCTTTGATTCTTTTGCAATGCGTTTCACAGGTTCGAGAAGCAATACTGCAGAGATGTAAAGAAGTTGAGCAAACTGCGATAGAACAAGCAACGGATAATGCAATTCTGGATCAACTGAGCAAGGTTTCTTGCTTGTTACAGATGCAATTTAGTCTTCATTTTCTCTTATTTTTTTACTCACTGGAAGTTCCACATGTTGTTGTTCAAAAAGCAAAGATGGGTGTTATTGTTTGATCTTGTCTAGACAGACAATCTATCCTACTCTAGCCTGTTTCTCTTCCTAATTTTGATGATTATTTGGGGTAATAAAGTGATCCATTGCCCCAATATTTTCAGATTGTTGAAGTTGATATTCCTAAATCCTTGTTGGAAGAACAAGGAAGACAGCTATATGGAGCCAAACTCTTGCAGCTACAGGTCAAAGAATGAATTGAATTTTCCTTTCTTTTACCTTTTCCCCAAATTCTTACAACTGCTCAATAGGTGGAGAAGAAAATAAATGAAAGCCAACTAGCATCTCTTTCAAGTGAAAGGGCAGTAGGTCAGTTCATCAACAACGAGAAGGAGAATATTTCAAAGATAATAAAACAAATGCTAGCTGTCGGTGAGATATTCAAGTGTGAAAATTTGCAGGTATGTTCTCAACCTTCCGTTTTATATACTCTTTATTTTGGATTCTTTGGTCAGTTGTGACTTGCCTGTTGGATTCTTTCGAATAAAATGCTCCTGTTTTTGCACCTTGAACTGGCTTAGTGAGCATCTTGAGCATTCCATTGGATTCAGGTAAACTTCAGATTAACTAACTATCTCTCTTTTGATAAAAGGAATTTGTATATATCTTGCCATACCACTGTCCTATATAGGATGCTTTATAAAGCATGTGCTATTGATAATTGTGGAGCTAATCATTGTATGAACTTGCTGGTGTCCTAGCTGAATAGTGTTGAAAAATTTTCCGACTTTTTCAATTAAATTATAACTTGCTGTAGTGTTTGTATGCTTCCAGAATGTTTTTATACTTTATTTGGGGCAAATTATCATGGAGAATTCTACAGATTTCTCAAGCACTTTAAAATAAGACAATATTTTTTTAATATAACTAAAAGCCATGGATTTAAGACAAACTTCATAACCTCCCACAGCACATGGAACGTTTTTTGTTTTTTTTATTTGACTTCAGACCCATTGAGGTCAGATTTGGTTTAATTGTTGGGGGTATTTATAGATCCCTTGTATGGATAGCTAGACTTAGGTTTTGAGTACATTCAACTTTTGTATTATTGTTGGCAATGCTGAATTGTTGGAAAAGAATTTCTTCCTTCTTTCTTAAATTAATCTCATAAAATTGGATTAACGATTATTTGCTTAGGCCTTTTTGGTGCTTGTCTCTTGCTTATTTGCAACTGGTTTTTTTTATAATGTGTGCTGTTATGATGTGTGCCTTATGTAGCTTGTGGATGCTTGCCAAGTGAATAGATAAGTACATAAACATTCTTGAGTCTACGGTAACAGTTTCTCCATAGTGGAAGTAAGCGAACAAAATTACTTCAACTGTGTGCAGGAATGCTGAATAATTATTACTTATGATTATGTTAGGTTATAACTCCAAAGTTGTGTGTAAAATATTTTGCAGTTTTTGACTGAGGAGCTTGTTAAAGAGGTTGAGAATTCTATCGCAGAGTTCAAACGCCATAATCAAGAGTATGATGAGGAGCGTGTGCGAGAGCAGGTTTTTGTTTTTCCTCTTGTTTATCATAATCTTTTCTGTTTCAGTTAATGGTAGAAACTTGATGCAATTTTCTGGATTACATATATAATTAGCAAATTTGTAGTTAATTCTATGAATGCAATAAGTGCATGTGCCTAAGTTTGTGATTTTTTTGAGAAATGATTGTGAGATTACCCACCTGAGGAGGATTACCTATTGCAAATACCTTTGGGGAAACTGGCCCAAGACTAATATGAGAGATTTTTGTGAATATAACATGATTATTATTTTGGGCATATATTATTATCAGACCGAAGTCCTGTGACTTGTGGTTATAGATTTTGTTCATAGTCCTGAGCCAGCAGCTAGCTTTTCTGGCCCCAATGCAAATAGATAAAATCTAAAGAAAATCGCAAAAATTATAATTTTTGTTTTAATTTTTTATTTATTTTTGACATTTTCAGGTCCAGGATGTCCTGGAGGGAGCAAAGGTGCTTGAATGGTTGAGAGAGAATGCTGAGATCCAGTATGTGAAGCAGTGAGTTCCCAGGGTCCAGGCATTGCAGATAATTTCTTTTACAAGGGCATGGATTCAGATTTGTAGAGAAACATAAGAGGCATTGTAGTTGATCACAACTTAATGCCCTCTTCTCCTTTCAGTAGTTGATTGGCCCCTTTGTTGTCACTGGCTTGGTGACCTTTTTAGCAACGAAGGTAGTCGGCATCATCTCTTATCAGCAACTTTTATTTAGCATCGGCATGGTATAGAAATGCTGCAAGAGTTTGTATATGCAACATTAGGGCCCTTCTAACCTACTATGAAATTATTACTTTGTAACCATAAGCTACTACTGAATGTGACAAATCATTCTCTTCTCATGACCTTTTCTGCAGTTGTTTTAACTGCACACAAGATTAAAGCTCCAAATGTCTTCAGGATTCACATGCCCAGAGTTATTATTATTACTATTATTGTCGTTGTTATTATTATTATTATTATCATTATTATTAGGAGGTAGATTTGTCCTACCCTGTTGGAAACATTTATTCTTTCTGTCATCACAGTGTGAAATTTGATGAAAATAAGGTTAGCTGCAACTTGCCCTTCTCTGGAATAAAGTGGAAAACTGTCTAATGTCATCATTCCACCTTCCTTCATATTGCCTCTTTGAGAGCCAGATCTTGAACACCTACCTCCACCTCTGATCACTGGTAGGAGACAGTAGCGAATAAGAGAGAGAGAGAGAGAGAACAAGGAACAACGAAGTAGACAAACAAGAGAGAGACGAACACGGTCATGGCCGACGGGTTTCTTTCAGCTGATGTGAGAGTGGACCAAGGAGGGTGAGCTTTCGGTTGCTTGACGGCGACGATGAGTAAGTGTAAGCAAATTACTTATTCTGTAGATGGTTATGGCGTTAGTAAATAGACATATTCCGTAGATGGTGTTAGTAAATAGACATATTCCGTAGATGGTGTTAGTAAATAAATACTGACGTTGTAAAGAGAGATTTGAAAAATGACTAAGAGAATTAGAAAAATCCGGTGAGATTTGTTTGATTGGCTCATACTTTAATAAGTTTGAGTGAGTCTTGTGTGTTAAATTGATGTCAAATTTAGTGTGTATATATATATTAATCCTAACTAGTTTGATTAAATTTCACATAAATGTGAGATATATTAGTAAATATATGTGTGTAGATTAAAAAGACGACTAAGAGAATAGTTGTTCTGATTTGTCTAATCTAATCTCATGTTTGGAAGATACTATTTCTCATTTATGATGATGTTAGGAACAATTATCGATCGATATCATTCTGATGTATTGAACGACTATCAAGACTTTATTAAGAGAGGACATGATGCTTTCACCGCTAATCTAATCATACAAAGTATCATCAATATCCTAATAGTTAAATTAATCATACTATTTTATAGTCCTTTGATAAAGAAAGATAAGAGATGAAGGTGGTGGGATTTCATCATTTTATTTTATTTTATTTTTGGACAAGAGTAAGTATTGAAAAGTGAGATTGCTTCTTCATATATTACTTTTAATCTCAGAAGATGATGATGATGATGATGATATACATCATCATTCTTTCTCACCAATAGACATCCTCAATTCCTGATTTCTTCTCTATTCTACATGTTGCCGAAGGGATAAATTCTGCCTGTAACCGAGACTACTATTATTAGTCTAAATGGAATGTTTCAAAACTATAGTAGATAGATGGAATGTTTCAAAACTATAGTAGATCATGTGAAAAATAGAATATATATATTCAATTAAGTTACTCGCTAAGCAATATTTCTAAATATTTAATCTCTTATTGTGGTGAAAACTTTTTCTTCACGGACAAGGTTACTGATTCTGCTATGCTATGCTGCAATTTGGCAACTGTCACTGGTTTTGGGACTTGCACTCGATGGTATCAGGGCTAAATTGATTAGGACACCACTGCTGGAATGAATCAAAATACCCATAAGTGATAAGATAACAACAACAGATGTGTCATTAACCGGATAAGTTCCATATTTTACCTGAAAATTTAGTCTAAAGATAACCTTTTAACTAAGATCAGAGTACAAACATGTAAGTTTGTTCATGCACCATTGTGATCCTGCAGTAAAGCTTTTCCACGATGACTAGTGCTCCGCACGCCTGTTTGGCAACAACAACAACAACAACAACAACTAAAGAGAGAAACCTGCTGCTTGTTGAAGGAGATGACTCGGTGGCTACAGCAACGACAATAGCAACATCCTATGAAAACTTAAAAAGGAACAAAGAGGTAATAACATAAGATGAGAGATGAAAAGAACCAAGTCAAAGATTGAACTAGCATACCTGGACATGCAAAGTTAAGGAAGATTCAAGCTACCAAATCATATGTTTGGGTTTACCCATGTTTTCCCACAGCTTTCTTGAGCTTAGCTTAAGCTTTCGTTTCAATCTCAAGTTCAAGAAAGCTGTGGAAAAATATGAGGCAACCCATCTTTTTTTATCTTCAAGGAGAGGTCCGTGAAACCGTATACATCTTGTCCCCGAATGCCGCGATGTTGATCGTGTTACAGCAAGCTTAGTTGTGATGCGGTGAAAACATGTAGCATAAAGAGGAAGATGAAGACATCTATCTCTACGTGGGTTTAAGGCCACTAAAACCCTTCGAGTGCTCTAAGCTAACTACGAAAACTAGTGTTAGTCTTTGAACCAAACTATGTGCGCTGAATTCTGAAAAAACCCTAACCCTAAACATGCATGGGAATGGAAAAAGGCGGTCTCCACAAACCCCAAGAACGTCCGCAAAAAACCTAAGATCCACATGAGACTTTCAGATCGAAAGCCCAACGTGAAATTACATGAAGCCCTATCCTTAACCACGCACTCACAGTGGACATAGATCCATGAAGAGAACTGTCCATTGACATGTAAAAGCCACCACCATTCTTGCATCAGTTGCATCATCCTCACCATCTATGACCTCCGTTACGCGAAGAACATTTACCTGATAAACAATGCCCATCAACAACCGAAGGGGGGAGAGAGAGAGAGAGAGAGAGAGAGAGAGAGAGAGAAGGAAAAGGAAACCTTTGTGTGATTGGTGGATTGGGAAGGATCCAGAATGGAACCCTAGAAATAGACAAGAGGAGTGAAAGGAAAGGAGGAGTACTCTGGGAACAGTGAGATGGAGGGGATATAACAAAAAGAAAAAGGCTGACAAGCACCATGTTGTTGGATCAAGCATGGTATGGGTGTCCATATGGTCAAGGTCACTGTGCGGTGGCACGAAGGCTACGGCTGTGGTCACTGTTGGTGTCTCAGACCTAACCCTGTGGGGTTCTTCCGGGAGGAGACATGGAGATCTCTTTGGGGCAGGCAGATAGATTTGGCCCTGCGAGCTACAACTTTGGACGCTGGCTGCTGTTTACTGGTTCGAAGCTCGACGTACCTCAACCACTTCAATTTCTTGGAGGATCACTAATTCACCAGATCAGGAAATTAAACGTACACAAAAATAAATTTGCACACATAATTTGTACATATTTCCATACAAATCAACTAAACATGTTTAGAGAAATTGGCTATTCAATTTTTTTTTTATTCTAGTTTATTTTATTTTATTTATTATGATTCAAAGGACAAATCAAATGGCGTTTAAAATAACAGGTTAATTTACTTGGATATAAGCTGAGGTTTGGTTAGATAAGTGGAATTTATTTAGTTGCCATTTATAAAATAAACTTTACTTTATTATGTTAGGAAATATATAAGGTTGTGTTGAATATGGTCAATGCGAAAATGTGCATTAGCCTTTGAATGGGTTGTCCTTTGGAATGTGACATTGAGAATGTATCCTATGATTCCAATAAATATATAGGAATTTATGGCATTGAGTTTATGAGAAATTATAATTGTGAAGATAAAATGAGGATCATATTTTCACCATCTCTCCGTCATCACTCCTCTCTTATTTTTAATCAGTTGCAAAGGGTTAGAGGGTTATTTAGTTATTTTGCAACTAAGAAAGCATTGATGAGTTATGGAAGAAAAAAAGAGAGGTAAATATATATTCATGGTGCACTATTTACCTCATGATAAATATTACATGAATATATAGGAGTTTGAATAAGTTAGATTTAATCGAATGAATGATGTTAGAACACAAGATATTTTTCAAAGGTGTTAACTAGCTTGGTTGATAAGGATTTTATTGGATGATCGTAAGATCCCATGATCAAAATTCACCTTCATCGTTTATCCTTTTAAAAAAAAATTAAATATATAAAAATTAAAAGAATAATAGCTAAAAAGAATCATTTAACATGGAATGTTTTGATCTTAAAAAAGATAAAAGAATACTCTTATAATAATAATAATAATTATTATTATTATTATTATTAACCAATATTAACCACTTTAATAATACAATATTGTTTATAAATTTAATTGATGCTTTTAAAAAATGTAATCAAAGTTATTTTTGAAAAAAAAAAGATTAATATTTTTGGAAATATAAGAAAATAAGGAGACTACAGGGTAAAAGCACAAAGCGAAGGACCGTGTGATAAATCCCCAAAAGTCGGGTGTGCTTCGAGATAAATCGTTCAAATGAGAATCAATTCATCACAGGTTCTACAGTGAAAAGCTTCAACTTTGATGTGGTAGTACGGGTCGCTGCATGTTACCATGTACCGTGACTGTTGACTGAACGCATCGACAAGTAAGTTGTAAACATATATTTTTTTTTCTGCCAAATATCTTTAAATTAATTTTCTCTCAGCAAAAGATTTCTTCAAAGAGACATTTGTAGGATATTCTAATGTATTGATAGATTAGTATAAACTATCTGTACCTCGCTTTGTCTCGAAATTAGCATGGAAGAGTTGCAAATGAGCACCTTAATCCTAATTAAGATACGGACTCTATGGCTTTGCTTGTTGTGCTCCACTGGAGCTATCCTTGGAGGGGGATTTGTATGGAATTCATGATATTCCATTAATGTTTCATAACTAAGAGGTTTTTGATTTAGTTACGTGGAGGTTTAAAATTTGAAGTATGAAAAGAGTCATATGTGAAGTAGAATTTATTTCTTTAGAAATACCATGTGTATCTCAAAATCTTAGGATTTTCTCTAGTATATTTAAAGATGGTTGCAAGAAATTTTTTGAGATTTCATATTGTGGAGTAATTCAAACAAAGATTTGGATGGCCTTGGTTTGAATTAATTCAAAAGAGAGAGAGAGAGAGAGTTTTATTTCGATTATTGTTATATAATAAAAAGAAAAATATTTTTCCCAATGGACACAAGTAAAGGCTATGCAATCATTACCCTTTCTAGTTTATGCTTTGATTACTAATCTATGAAATTCTCAGTTAGTACCCAAGTCTTTTGCCAATATTATATATACTTTCATAT